AATCATACAGAGCAACAACCAACCTTCTTCACAGCCGACACATCATCTTTGTTCCCCACATTTATGGTCTGCCCTTTAGGCAAAGCCGATGGATCCTCTCCTATCTCGAGCGCTTTACGGCAAACGACATGGTAAATCTGCGTCAGCACCTCAGTGAACGAGTTCTCCACATTCATGGACTCGAGTGCAGATGTCTCCATAAAATAGGTTTTTTCCTTCTCGGCAAATGCCTGCCCGTCCTCTGTCGAGACTGCCCTGAGGTGGCGGAGGTCAGCCTTGTTCCCCACGAGCATTATTACGATGTTCTGGTCCGTGTGGTCCCGTAGCTCCTTCAGCCACCTCTCGACATTCTCGAAGGTGACGTGGCGCGTGACGTCATACACGAGCAAGGCTCCCACGGCCCCACGGTAATAGGCGCTCGTAATCGCGCGGTACCTTGAGAAGTATGCGTAATGTTAAGCAATATGTATTTAGAAAAAAATAAAATGTGGTTTCTAATGGATTAACAATTCTATGGAGAGATGGATCGTGAGCTCAAATTTTTGAGAAACAAATTACTACAAAATTCGAGATAAAATTTGGCCCAAGACACTCGTCTTGAAGATTTACAATTCAAGAAAAAAGGATAAACTTTTGATACTTTACGACAACTTAAAATAGGTTGTCTGGTCTAATGCTATATATAGGACACATTTGGTAAGGATGATTCGCGACAATCTAGATTGTTTCGGACATTCCCTGTTAACTTTTCGTTATAACCTAAATAAGAGCACGAAAACACACGTGGCAAGAGTCACAAGCCATACTGGCTATTTCTTTTTTCGACAAAACTTCGTCAAATGAAATAATACGTCATATACAGGAGGAAAATCGAGTCGTAACTGTATCTGGAATTCAAGCTACTCGGTCTAATTACAGTCAATAGTTCGTCACATTTTTCAACGTTGAAAATTATAGCATCAAAACCTAAAGTTCCTAATCTTCACACACAGTACAGGAGGTATCATCTTCTCACTCAAAACCCCTCAAAACTAATTCAATTTGCAAGATTTAAGCAGAGAAAAAGCTCTGCACATTCGACCAGTTATCGATTACCATTTGCCCCAAATGCTCTTTATTGTCCAGAAAACCAAAATCCCTTTCAGTGAATACACACTATGATGCAATTTCAACAGCCTTGAAACTTTCATTTCATAAATCCATCACACTGTTTTGCTGGATCTGGTGTTTATTCTATACTTGCAGGGCTCACCACGATCTACATTTTACTCGATCCACACAAATTTCCAAAACGCATACTTAAAATTAAGATCAATGTCTTTGTTTTTTGACTTTGTTTTTTGATCAATGTCATTGGCTTAAAGAACTTATTTGTAATGACTTTGTTTTTTTGATCCTTAATGAAAAGT